CGCAGGCTCTGTCGGGGACACCGGCGAGCGCTGAGCATCCGGGGCCGTCGACGGAGTCGGGGCTGGCGCTGGAGAGCAACGCGCCTTCGAGCGAGCCCTCCTGATGACTGTGGGGGTCCGCGGGGCTGGGGCCACTGGACCCGCGGAGGCGGCATCTGACTGGGGGGGCGGAGGAGGCGGCGGTGGCGGTGGTGGGGGCGCTTCTTCCCCAGCCTGGCCCGCTGCAGATTGTCCGCTGCTGAGGGGCTGCTGCCGGAGATTCCACTTCTGTGGGGCTGGAGGTAAAGTCTGGCCTGGCTGCTGTAGCGACTGCCGATGCTGCTGCGACTGTTGCTGCGGGACGGGAACCTGCTGAGGCAGCTGCTGTTGCTGCTGGGGCGGCTGCTGACTGTGCCCCTTGACGATCCATGTGGGACTGATGTGGCAGAGCTGCTGAATCATAACGTCCTGCTGAGCGAGCTTGTTCGCTAGCTGTATCATAGTCGCCGAGAGCTGGTCGCGCTGCGGGTCTCTGGAAACCAACCTTCCATGCCGGTCGTATATGTGTTGATCTGGCGCCCCCTGCAATGCGGAGCGCTGGGGAATGGTCGCCTTTTGACTGAGCCACAGGCTGCGGGAGAGGGGGCGGGTGCGCAGCCTGGTTGTGCCATGGTGGTGAGGGCTGCTGACCAGACGAGGAGGAGGCCCCAGGCTGCTGGGGAGATGGCTGGCCATGCTGGTCGCGTGTGACCATATCCCAATCCGCCTCCTCCTGCTGGTGTCGTATGAGCTGGTCGATCGTCTGCTTGGATAAAATCAACTCCTGCTCGAGTACTTCTTTCTGAACCTGCAAAGTGCTGATCTGTTCGTCGATATTATTGATATGGTTCTGAGTGCGTTCGTATCTGACCCTGGCATCTACAATCTGCTTTTGAATGCCCCCAGCTGCGCTATCATGAAGCGATATGTGGCAATCGTTGCAGATTCGTCCAGTAGCTCCGACGGCTGCTTCCCTGCCTGCAGGGACATTGATACGATAGTGGCAACTGTATTGAGCTTCGATGTTGTGTCTCGTCGATACAAGTGTCGGCCTTAGTAGTCGAGCTCGCTCGGTGGTGGGATGTACACAGGCGAGATTGTGGCCATGGCTGGGGTTGCTGGCACTGTCGTCCCGATGACTTTTGATATCGACGGAGGGGTTGCTTTGGCTGGGGTCCCACGGAGCTGCTGGTTCCTGGGGCGGCTGGTGTTTCTGGTGCGACTGGACAATCTGGGACGCGGTCGAGGGCGGGGGCCTGTCTCCTCTGAACCATCCCCAACCTTTCCACAACGACCACATGTCCAGTATTTCATGGGAACCTGAAAAGAGCATGCTGAACACTTCCAAGACATCGAAGGGCGTTGAGCTGAATGATGTTTTTGAAGCAAGCTTTTCGCCTTATCGAGTCGTACGAGTGACCTGGCAACTGCTCTCGTTTCCCTCTCGCGTCTTCTCCAAGCCGTCGTGATGCCTTCTGCAAACGCTGCACAACGGCGAGTGACGAAGACAAGAAACGAGAACCAATCCAAGATCGATGTGCGGCCACATAAAGGGCGCGCGTCTGGTCGGCTAAAGTGTGCAAGTGCGTTACAGTACGGGTTATGTGGCAAAAGAACCCTTCCTCAGCCAAACCCTCGTGTCATCCTGCTCGTCCTCCTCGTCCTCCTTGTTTTCTGTTTCATCCTTCTCCTGTTTTCCTCATCCTCCTTCTCCTCATCCTCCTCGTCCTCGTCCTCGTCCTCCTCCTCCTCCTCCTCCTACTACTCCTCCTCCTCTTGTTCCTCCCCCTCCTCCTCCTCCTCCTCCTCCTCCTCCTCGTCCTCGTCTTCGTCCTCGTCCTCGTCCTCGTCCTCTTCCTCCTCCTCCTCCTCTTCCTCCTCCATCTCCTCCTCCTCCTCCTCCTTTTTCTTTCTCCTCCTCCTCCTCCTCCTCCTCCTGCTCCTCCTGCCCCTCCTCCTTCTCCTTCGGTCCCCCATCCTGGAAAGGAGGAGCATCAGCAGAAGCAGGTCCCCAACCTCCCTCCCATCATCTGTTTCGATCCGAAGGCCCCGGGAAGCCTCGACTCTCTCCACGGGCAACCTGCCGTCCCGGATCCACGCCTGATTGCCCCGAGGCCCGAAAACGGCCCCTGGAGGCAGGAATGAATAAGAAACGCATGGATTGAACAACATGCTCCATGAATCAAGCGTTCCACCGATGACCAAATCCGATATCCTCTATCTGGACGTATGATACCGAAGCAGTGGCGGAGAGGCGGAGAGGTCAGAGTCTGCAAGAAGGACGCATGGATTGAACAACTCGGCCCACTCAAAGTCGCGCAGCGCTCCCAGAGGGGGCGTCCAAGAAGAAGGGCTCGCAAAGCATGGCCCAGGGCGTTTTCGCCGACGGGCAGGGGGCCACGGAACGCCTTGAGAGGTCGCAATGACATCTAGGCGACTTTATGGCCCCAGCCGTGATGTCCTTCCTCTCCCTTAGCCCTCGCCTCCCCTTTTTGAGGGGCCGCAAAATCCAGGGCAACTTTCTGTCCACAGCCATGATACCCGCCCCCACCAATTAGACCTCGCCTCCCCCTGTTGAGGGTGCAAGAATGAGGGTGCAAGAAGCCCAGGGTGACTTCATGGCCCAAGCCATGGCCCCATTCAGAAAGCCACCAAATTCAGAGCGACTCCATGGCCCCAGTCACAATGCCCACACCCCCGCCCCTTTAGTCCTCGCACCCCCTCGTGAGGGAGACATGAAATCCAGGGCGGCCGAATTGCCTATGCCACGATAACCACCCTACCTCTTGAGGGGGCCGCGAACTCCAGGGCAGTTGCATGGCCCCAACAGTGGCGCTTCTCCCTTAATCCTCGCCCCATCCCCACCTCCCCTCTTGACGGTGCCATGAAAACCCAGGGCGGCTTCATGACCCCAGCCGTGATGCCCCCCCCCCCCCACCCCACCCACACACCCACCCACAACACGCACACAGACACACAGACACACAGACACACAAACACACTGACACACAAACACACACACACACACACACGCACACGAACACGAACACGCTACACGCAAGCACGCACACGCAAACTTACACGCATACGCACACGCACACACACACACGAACACACACACGCACACACGCACAGGCACACGCACAACCACACACACACACACACACACGCACACACCACACGCACGCACACGCACAAGCACACGCACACGCACACGCACATTCACACACAACACACACACACGAACACGCACACACGCACACGCAAACGCACACGCACGCACGCACACGCACACGCACACGCACACGCGCACGCACACGCACACACATACGCCGCGACACAACACACACACACACACGCAGACATACACACACACACACGACGGCGGCAACCGCAAACGCTCACACTCACACACACGCACGACACGCATACGACACGCACACGCACACTGCACACGCACATTCACACACACACACGCACAGCACGCAACCGCACACACACACACACACACACACAAACACGCACGCACACGCGCGCACGGACACGCCACAGCACACGCACACACACCACACCACACGCACACGCATGCCCACGCACACAGCTCAACACCATTCATCACACTCGCGCGCAGGCGACCGCACACGCACACGCACACGCACCACGCACACGCACCGCATCCAGCACGGAACACGCACACACACGACACGCACAACACACACACAGCACGCACACACACACACCACACACTCACAACACGCACACACAACACGGACACACGACCGCCCGCAAACAAACACACAACACACACACGCACACCACGCCGCGCACACGCGGCGCACGCACGCAAAGCACACGCACACGCACGCGCACACGCACAAGCACCGCACACACACACACACACAACGCACAAACATTCGCACGCACGCACGTAACATGCACACACACACACACACGACGCACACGCACACACAACCAACACACACGCACGGCTCTCTCTACCGTCTCTCTTCCCTCTCCCGCGCAACACGCACGCTCACACACGCACGAACACGCACACGCACACACACACACAAACGCACGCACACATAAACACACACGCACACACGCACCCGCACACGCACACGCACACACACACACACACACACACAAACACGCAAGCGCACACGAAACGCACGCGCACACGCACACACACACACACACACGCACATGCACACGCACACGCACAATCACACACACACACACACACCACGCACACGCAAACGCACACGCACACGCACAAGACCACACACACACCACGCACGCACACACACACACACACACACACGCACACAAACACACACACCACGCACGCACAAGAACAAGCACCCGCACACGCACACACACACACACGCACACAAACACACACGCACACGCACACGGACACACACACACACACACACGCAAACACGCACACGCAAACACACACACACACACGCACACACACGCACGCGCACATGCAGACGCACACGCTCACCCACACGCACACGCACACGCACACACACACACACACACACACCCACACACACACGCTCACACCCACGCGCGCACGCACGCACGCACATGCACACACACACACACGCACGCACGCACGCACGCTCGCTCTCTCTTGTGTTGTGTTTCTCTCTCTCTCTCACACACACGCGCACGCTGACACAAGGAGCAGCCTGTAGCTGCATGCTGGAGAAATCGAGGGAGGTAGGGGAGTTGAGCATTGGGAGGGGAGGGGGAGGAGACCACCTAATCCATAACTCTGCCCCTCCAGCCTGGCGGCTGACAAGCAGCACTGCACAAACTAAGCATCGATCCAGTGTGACAATTGCGCCACGCACTGGTGCCAAGTAGGCCAACCTGCGAAGACTGTGCGAGCCGTCCATTGTATTTCAAGGCGTGTATATATGTATATTGCAATTGACATCATATTCCCTCGTTCACATGCGTGATATGCACGAGTGTCTGAATCAAGCTCAGCAGCCAGACGCGACAACGGCTGCAATACATGCTTCCTCGGAGACAGCAGCCCTCGGCGAGGGCGTGTAGCGCCGCTGCCTTCGACCCTCGGAGAAGGCATCTTGGAGGAGGTGGCAGAGCATGTTCGGCGAGGGTGAGGGGGAGGAGACCACCTCATCCCTGACTCTGCCGTGCCCGCACGCAAGCAGTGCTGCACCAGCTTAAGCGTCGATCCGGTGTGACAAGTGCGCCACACACTGGCGCCAACCAGGCCGGCCTGTGAGAACTATGCCAGCCTTCCAGTGAATTGAACGGCGTTCATACATACATATATACACACATATATATACACACAAAGAAATGACTACGTTAGGAAGGGAAGCGGGGGGCGGTGGTGGTGGAGGAGCTTCAGTCCCTCACAGAGGGCCCGCCGCGCAGGCGGAGTCAGGTACTGCCCACGGCGTGGGCCAAGGGGCATCGTTGCAGAGGCACCTGCACTTCCTTCAGCGAGGGACCTTAGTATGGGACGTGGCGGGGGGGGGGATGATGATGCTGGTGGGGGCGGTTCCTTGCTTCACCTGTGCCTGCAGCATACTCTTGGTCCTACACTGTTCCACGCCTGCAGCCGCCAGGCGCCTTCCTTCAGTCCGCACCGTCGCCAGGCACAGGTCTGCTTTTTTTTTCCTCTCACGAAGACGCAACAGGCTGCGCACCGAATGCTAATCGAACGTTAATTAAAAAGGAGGAGGGGGAGGGGGAGGAGGAAGGGAAGAGGACGTCGCGGAGCGAAAGGCCAGGCGACCACGCGACAAAGGGGTTGCGCCGGCCGCGCTCCGCCTCCAGGCGTGCCCGCGGGGGGGGCGGGGCGGACCTCTCCCGGGAGTGCGCGAGCCACCGAGCCTGCGGAGCACTTTGGCGAAGGGTCGGGCCTGACTGCCACCCTGCGCACCCGCATGTTCCATGATCTCCTGGCTGAACTTCTCCGTGGGGTTTCCCTGCCAGCGGGGCACTGCCGCGTTGCCTCGGAAGCACGGCAGGTGCCCAGGGCAGGCCCAGAAGCAGTCAGAGCATTGGCCCTGCATCCCTCACCTCGGTGTGGCCCCGTGAATACAGAGACTGCTCCGAGGCTGCGTCGGGGCCATTCGAGTTCGTCCCCAGACCGCCTTCACCTTGACCACCGCACCACCACCTCCTCCCCATCCTCCCCCTTGAGACGGTACCGCCTGGCAAGTATCTGTGGCCCGCCCGGCTGCGGAAAGTTACAACCCGCTCTCGCCCCTGCGGCCTGCGAGGGTGCGGTCGGGGATGCCATTGGAGGCGTGCCGAGAGGATGGGACAACTAGAAGGGGGCCCGTGAAACAGCACCAACGGGCAAATATCTATGGCTTGCCCGGCTGTGGAAAGTTACAACCCGTTCTCGCCCCCGCGGCCTGAGAGGGTGCGGTCGGGGACGCCATTGGGCGCATGCCGAGAGGATAGGACAGCTCGAGCGGCATAGTGAGACTGCACCGCCAGGCAAGTATCTATGGCTCGCCCAGCTGCGAAAAAGTTACAGCCCACTCTCGCCCCTACGGCCTGCAAGGATGCGGTCGGGGACGCCCTTGGCGGCGCATGCCGAAAGGATGGGGCAGCTCGAGCAGCAAAACCCCGCCATAAAAGAAATATTTCGACCGATTCTGGAGGTCCGCGCGGATTTCTTGCATCGGCGCTGGGCCCCTACGGTATGCCCTGCTACCTTTTGACTCGCGTGTTTCGAGGATGCAGCGTTGCATCGAGTTCTATTCTGAGCGTCATACAAGCTGGTCCCGTCCCCCTTCTCTCCCTGTCTCTTCCTGCCCTTCTTATTCGGTCGTTGTTGTTTGTTTCACGGGCCTGCTTAGTTATCCTCTTGCTTCCTCCCCCGTGCAAGTGTACACACAAATAACAAGTTAAGTCTGCCCACATCGAATACACGGCGTGCTGGGCGAAAGGCGTCTCAGCAAAGACCACGGAACACTGATGCCCATGAGGTTTCCTCCGAAACGTGTTGCCGAGGAGCAGTGCAACAGAAGTAGAATAGAAGAATCGAAATAACAGGGGTGTCTGAAGCTCCTCGAATAATGACGTGCAACACGTGCCTGAAAAGCGGTCTGACCACATCTTGCCACCTGACTCTGCCGGCAGGGGAATGCTCGGGCCAGAGCACGCCTAAGATGGGGATTCCAGCTTAAAGCTGAAGAAGAGCTAGGGTACCATTCAAAATTACAACCACTCTAGAGCAAGCAGTCGGTAGAAACTGAACAATTCGGCGGCATTGCTTTAAAAAACTTAGGCCGCTTAGGCAATACAAACTTAGGCCGCTTAGGCCGCTTAGGCCGTAAGCGGCCGACTTACTGGGCCCTACCGGTAGTTTCATCCCCTGGGGCTCCCGACAGAAAATGATCCTGGCTGAGGCGGGGAGTCGAAAGCCTGTTCACATATCCACCGAGGCCAAATCAAGCAATCACGATAGTTACACGAGGCTCGCCACTGCACGCAACAGGCGCTGGTCACCAAGCAGTCCCGGCCGATGCCGCTGCTCTTCGGCTGGAGCGCGCTCAGGAAGTCGGCGTGAGCCTGGCGATCGTCGTCGAGGTGGTCGAGCGCGAGCCTCTCGCCCTCTGACCTGGTGCCGCCACCCTCACAGGCCAACTCTTCCCCGCTCAGGGCGGCGAGGGGACAGACTTCCGCGGTGCCCCCCCCCCCCCCCCCCTCTTGGCCCACGGGCTCTGGCGCGTCGGCCAGCGGCTCGTGGCCCATGCCCTCGCTGGACGCTGCAGCCTCTGACGTGATGTCGAGCCTTTCCGCTTTCCTGCCGCCGAGCTCGAGCTGCGCTTGTGACTCACAGCCCAGGTGCGGTGCGCCGTGACCTGGATCTCGTCGGACGTCTTCCGGTCGTCTGGGGCCCGCGCGAGCTGAGTGACGGCGCCAAGCGGGATCGTGTCGCCAGCCTGCGCCCCGACCTGACTCTCTGTTGGGGGCTGGTCCAAGCGGCACCTCGAGCGCGACGGCGGCGAGGACTGCGAGCGGGTCCCCGCCACGACGGCGGGCTCGGCCGCCACCTCAATGAACGCGTTCTTGCACGTCACGCAAAACAACTCCTCGCTGTCAGGCTGCCCCTCGCACGCAGAGCGGCTGGCACCGAGTGCCAGCGGAACCGCGGCAGCGGGGGCCGCCGCGGCACCGTCAGAGCCCTCGCCGCCGCCGCAGCACCCGCGCTGCACGGGCCCTCCAGGGCACTGCGTCCGCCAAGCCCCCGGCGGCAGCGGGGGAAAGTCGCGCGCCGGCGGGATCGCTCTCAGCGGGCGCCCGGGGCGCTCCTCTTGGTGACCCGCGGCCGCCTCCACGCCGCCGCCGCGGCCCCACGGCTGCCGCGGGCGGCCTGGAGACCCCGCGCGCGGAGGCAGATGTGGAGCTGCGCCGCCCCGACTAGGGGGGCGCCCGTCCGCAGGGGCCGCCGTGCGCCTGGCGGCTGTCTGCGGGCACTGGTTCTGCTCCTGCTCGCGGCCCGGCAGCCAGTGAACTCGATGGGGGGAGAAGGTCTGCGGCGGCGGCGGCCTGCTGCAGGCTGCGGCGAGCCTGGCGGCCACCTGCAGGACCTCCAGGCGCTGCTCCCACTCCTGCTGCGCCCGCCGCGCCCGTGGCGCGTGCCAGGCGTGCAGCGGCAATGCCACCGTCTCGAGGGCGCCAGTCGAAGCCGCCGCCCAAGAGTCACAGGTGCCGCGCTGAGCGGGGCCAGGATGCCGAAGCGGGTCGTTGAAGACGTAGAGCTTGCCGGCCTCGGGGACAAACGATGGCGCACTGGTATTCCACACGAAGCGAGGACCCAAAGACGTCGTCAGCCCAGCTGCCTGTTCCGTTGGGGACTGTGGGGCTTTCTCGGCAACCATGGCCGCCAAGACTGATCAGGCTACGCGGGCCCGACAAGTCACAGGAGAACTCAACCAACGCACATGCTGCAGCCCAAATGGCTCAAGCCACAATGGCCACGGATCCTCTCCTCCCCTCGTGAGGGGCCCATGACAGAGGGGCGACCTCACGGCCCCAACCAAGACATCCCCCCTATAGTCCTCGCCTTTCCCTCCTGGACACCCACGGCTGTCCGGCCATAACTCTCAAGCCTCTGGCGGCCGTTCGGGACGATACGGACTCCCGACGATGCGCAGCTGCTACAAGGCATGCCGCGGCGAGAAAACCTCGAAGCACCTCGACGCGACGGTCTGCTGCCCGGGGAGGGGCCCGGGACATCTGGGCTCCCGCGCCGCGAAAAGAGCCGTGCCCAAGGACGTCTGAAGGACTGGCAGGAGAGCCCAGAATCGAATCGATGAGTCGGACCGGCGATGGGCGAGGAGGGGGAGGAGGAGGAGGAGGAGGAGGAGGAGGAGGAGGAGGAGGAGGAGGAGGAGGAGGAGAAGGAGGAGGAGGAGAGCCCAGAATCGAATCGATGAGTCGGACCGGCGATGCAAATGCACGGGGTCGGCGGAGATCTGCAGCGAGGTCGGGAGAGGCCGAGTCGGCGGAGGTCGGCAGGCCAGCGAGGCCTCTCCATTGGGAAATCGGCACCCAGATCGGAACATCCGATGCCGAGTCGAATCGGAATCGGAAGACACCATACAGTCGGGGCGTTGACCTAAGGAACCCTAAATAAGGAACGAGGCCCCTTTTTGTTGCATAAGTTGGACTTCGATTCCCCATCGACAACCTCAGGACAACCTAAGGCAAGCTGCGAAACAAGTAAGGAACACGGAACCCCTCCCCAACGGGAAGGGTTTGTTGTTCAGAGCCCCGACTGTAATCGACACTCGAATCGAGGCGGAGGAATCGAAATGAGCCCTAGACTGAAGGCCTCGATCTCTTTCCTGGGGCCTGGGGGCCGTGCTCCTGCCCCCGGCCCCTTCTGGCGGCCCCACGGGGGCCCCGCGACGGCCTCCCAGAGGCCGAAGCGCCGGAAAAGGGCCAGGGTCCCCAGAAATCAATCCGCCTGAACTCTGGGTTGGGTTTCCCCCCCCAGACGAGGAAAAAGGTAAGCACAAAGCAACACAAACACCAACAGCAAAAGTGGGAGGAGGCAAGGGAAGGGAAGGGGGGAGGAGGAGGAGGCGGGACGGGGAGGGACGGAGAGGTGGAGGTGGAGGGAGGAGAGGAAGGGGCGAGGAGGAGGAGGAGGAGCAGGAGGAGAGAAACTCGATCCACCCAGAATAGGTCCGCCCAGGGATCGAGTCTGGTGCCTCACCCCCGCAGCCCGCAGCCCCCCGCGCCGGCCCTGCGAGCCCTGGGCCCCCTCCTGCGTGAGGGGGAACCGCTCCGCGCCCAGGTCGTTCTGGAGGACGTACACGCGGGTGCCTGCGCCCCCACGCCCACCCCTGGCTTGGGAGCAGGGGGAAAAAGAATTGTGCACATGCACCGATTCTGGCCGGGCCCATCCTGAGCCCAGGATCGGTGCATACGCCCCCCTGCCTTGGCCAGGAAGGCACATGCACCGATCCTGGGTCAGGGATGGGCCTTGCCAGGATCGGTGCGTGTGCACAGCTCTCCTCGCCCGAGGGGGGCAGGAGGAGGGGGACAGTCGGCCCGCATGAGAAGGACGCGCGAGGAGGGTGCAAAAGGGCCTCGGACGCACAGTTCGGAGCTTTTCGAGCCGGGCGCGGCCAGCGACAGTGGCCGGGGATGGACCGAGGAGGCAGGGACGCAAGGGCTTCCGTTGGGCAGGATGCCCAGCCTTACTGTGCTGGTGGACTGCTCTCGGGATGAGGAGGGCTGGTCCTGGAGGGAGCAAGGTCCAGGGAGCGTTTCGCCCGTGTCCGGCCCCTGGGCCCTCTTGGGCCGTCCGACCGCTCAGGAGGAAGAGCCAGCCCTGGAGTAAAGCACCTGGCGTCGAACGAACCCGCTCCCAGCAAGACCCCCCTCCCATGCTGGCGAGCAGGACGGGGCGGAGGAAGCAGAGGAAGAGGAGGGAAGAGCAGGAAGGAAGCACGCAAAGGTAGAGGGGGCCAGGGACACACAAACACATGGGCATACATCCCAGGATCCCCCATGTCTTTCAAGATTCTCTGGACGTCCGTCTTCCCCTCCATTTCCCATACTTCCTTACATTGTTCCTGGGGGGATCGGCGAACTCTTTGTGTCTGTGTGTCATTTTTCCCCTCCTGAGAAGGAGGGGGCGGGATATGTAGGGGGGCTTATTCCAGAAGCTCATCCGGGCGATGGAGCCGGCCCAAGCTCTGGCAGCGGCTTCTCACCAACCCACGTTTGTGTTTGAAGGAGCCCTGGGGTACACAAATAAACACACACACACACACAAATAACAGGATTTCCCATATGTTCCACATGTTTTGGGTTTTTGTCTTCCACCCAACCTCCCATAGTTTCCCACATGTTCCAAGGAGTCGAGGATTAATTGTGTCTGCGTGTTGCTTTCCCTCCTGAGTGTTGTGTGTTGTGTGTGTTGTGTGTTGTGTGGTGCGTGGTGAGTGTCGTGTGGCGTGTCTGTGTTGTGTGTTGGCGTTCCCCGGAGCGTGCCCGTCCCGCTTCCTCCGCCTCTCGGCCGTTGCCTCGTCGTTCTCCTCCCCCGTCCCCCACGGTGGCCCAACTCGCTTGACGGCAGCCCCGCGTCGCTTCCTCGCCAGCGCAGTGACTCTGCCTAGCCGCCAACGCAAAAATGTTGTATGCTGTGTCGTGTGTTGTGTGGTGTGTGTGTGTGGTGTGCTGTGTTGTGTGTGTTGCGCGGTTGTGTGTTAGGTGGTGTGTGTGTGTGTGTTCGTGTGTTGTGTTTGTGTGTGTGTGTTTGTGCGTTGTTCGTGTGTGTTTGTGATTGTGTTTGAGTTGTTGGTGGGTGCTTGTATTGGTGTTTGTGGTCATGCTTGTGTGTGCTCATGTGTTTGTGTGTTGTGTTGGTGTGTCTGTGTTGTGCGTGCGTGGGTGTGTGTTGAGTGTCTGCGCCCACCTGTGGGGCACAAACGAGCATCGGCCTAAACAAGCAACACGCTGATAATACCTGAATCGGCCCGCCACGCCGCGTTCAGGGCAGGAGGGCAGATTCAAAGAACAGACGCTGACACAAGCATAAAGGTTCAGAGGACCGGGCGAATCTCTTGGACCGACCCCCCTCCCTGGCGCGCGGAGCGCGCCAAGAGCGGCGCCGGAGGCGCCGCCAGGCGGTTTCAGCGCCGATCCGAAAAATCCGCTCGGACCTCCGAATAAATAGCCTGGCGAAGGACCCAACCATATGCAGTTGAGAGTACCGCACTTGTGAATATCTTCTTCGGTGGCGCTCCCTATGGGGCCACGAAACGTGTGAGGGGTGTGCCGAAATGGGTGTGCGGGACGCATGCGGACGGCAGCACTGGGGCCTTCGGTGGAGCTCCCTATGGGGCCACGAAACGTGTGAGGGGTGTGCCGAAATGGGTGTGCGGGACGCATGCGGACGGCAGCCATGGGGCCTTCGGTGGAGCTCCCTCCCTGCCATGGGGCCTTCTCCCTATGGGGCCACGAACGTGTGAGGGGTGTGCCGAAATGGGTGTGCGGGACGCATGCGGACGGCAGCCATGGGGCCTTCGGTGGAGCTCCCTATGGGGCCACGAAACGTGTGAGGGGTGTGCCGAAATGGGTGTGCGGGACGCATGCGGACGGCAGCACTGGGGCCTTCGGTGGAGCTCCCTGTGGGGCCACGAAACGTGTGAGGGGTGTGCCGAAATGGGTGTGCGGGACGCATGCGGACGGCAGCCATGGGGCCTTCGGTGGAGCTCCCTATGGGGCCACGAAACGTGTGAGGGGTGTGCCGAAATGGGTGTGCGGGACGCATGCGGACGGCAGCACTGGGGCCTTCGGTGGAGCTCCCTGTGGGGCCACGAAACGTGTGAGGGGTGTGCCGAAATGGGTGTGCGGGACGCATGCGGACGGCAGCATGGGGCCTTCGGTGGAGCTCCCTGTGGGGCCACGAAAAGTGTGAGGGGTGTGCCGAAATGGTGTGTGCGGGACGCATGCGGACGGCAGCCACTGGGGCCTTCGGTGGAGCTCCCTATGGGGCCACGAAACGTGTGAGGGGTGTGCCGAAATGGGTGTGCGGGACGCATGCGGACGGCAGCCATGGGGCCTTCGGTGGAGCTCCCTATGGGGCCACGAAACGTGTGAGGGGTGTGCCGAAATGGGTGTGCGGGACGCATGCGGACGGCAGCCTGGGGCCTTCGGTGGAGCTCCCTGTGGGGCCACGAACGTGTGAGGGGTGTGCCGAAATGGGTGTGCGGGACGCATGCGGACGGCAGCACTGGGGCCTTCGGTGGAGCTCCCTGTGGGGCCACGAAACGTGTGAGGGGTGTGCCGAAATGGGTGTGCGGGACGCATGCGGACGGCAGCCATGGGGCCTTCGGTGGAGCTCCCTATGGGGCCACGAAACGTGTGAGGGGTGTGCCGAAATGGGTGTGCGGGACGCATGCGGACGGCAGCATGGGGCCTTCGGTGGAGCTCCCTGTGGGGCCACGAAACGTGTGAGGGGTGTGCCGAAATGGGTGTGCGGGACGCATGCGGACGGCAGCAGTGGGGCCTTCGGTGGAGCTCCCTGTGGGGCCACGAAACGTGTGAGGGGTGTGCCGAAATGGGTGTGCGGGACGCATGCGGACGGCAGCCATGGGGCTTCGGTGGAGCTCCCTATGGGGCCACGAAACGTGTGAGGGGTGTGCCGAAATGGGTGTGCGGGACGCATGCGGACGGCAGCCCTGGGGCCTTCGGTGGAGCTCCCTCTGGGGCCACGAATCGTGTGAGGGGTGTGCCGAAATGGGTGTGCGGGACGCATGCGGACGGCAACCATGGGGCCTTCGGTGGAGCTCCCTGTGGGGCCACGAAACGTGTGAGGGGTGTACCGAAATGGGTGTGCGGGACGCATGCGGACGGCGGCACGGGGGCCTTCGGTGGAGCTCCCTGTGGGGCCACGAAACGTGTGAGGGGTGTGCCGAAATGGGTGTGCGGGACGCATGCGGACGGCAACCATGGGGCCTTCGGGGGAGCTCCCTCTGGGGGCACGAAAACGCGTGAGGGGTGATGTGCCGAAATGGGGTGGGACGCAATGT